TTACCTGTTGTGCATAATTAAAATTTTATGTTGACTGTGCAGTTAAACATAATGTATTATTGCATCAGAATTGGGCAGTCTCCTGTTTTTGTGCATTATTGTTTTCTGCTTTTCTTAAGGTGTGACTTATGGGCCTGAAGACCTTTGATAGACAAATTTGTGTGGTCAGTCTGTTAATTCCCCTTGGGTATTCACAAGGCTAATTTCAGTGCTATAAACTCATTTACCTAATTAAGTAGCCATTAATTGAAATTTCATAAAGCACACTTGTTGATATTTCCCTGTTAAGCTCTCTGCTAGATAACATAGTGTCCATAATAAGGAAGCAGTGAATAACAGCTTCATTAGAATTATATTTTTGTTGTTTCTATTTAATTTTTTCTCCAACACTGGCATTTTTAAGATGTGATTTTTAACTCCCATCCACCTGAGGCTGTGCACATTTTCAGTATTTCCACATAAGCAGCTGTATTGGTATTTATGTCTTTAAACACTATGTAATATTATTTTATGCACTGTCATCATTTTTCATATATAGGGACTTTCATCATGTGAATTTTAACTCTCATGGTCCTGACATTGTAATCTTATTGAAAGGGTGGATTAAGACCATCTTCTGGGTCTCCTGGAAGACAGTCAGATTTTAAAGTTAATATTTACGGGTTTCTGTTGGAAGACTATCAAAATGGAGGATGGATCAACAGAGATACTTTGGAATACTGTCAGAAAATATCTCTGAATCTGCTCCTGTTATTGACCATGTTACCTGTTGTGCATGATTAAAAATCAGTGTTGACTGACTGTGCTATTATAAGCATTTATTATTGCATCAAAATTGACATAATGACCTATTTTGCATCTTTTTTTTCTGTTTTTTGTCTGTACATTTGACAGCTTTGCTGCCTTGTTCTCTGTATTTTTTTTCTGCTTTTGGTAAGAAATGTACATCATATTATGAAATGTGTGTTTCAGGTTCAGAAGAAGACCAGGAAGCCACAGAGATGCTGGTGGGCAATGCACAGAACCTCATGCAAGCTGTGCGCGAAACAGTGCGTGCTGCTGAGGCTGCCTCCATTAAGATACGTGTTGATTCTGGCTACTCCATGCGCTGGGTACGACGCAGTCCATGGTATGCAACGTAAGAAACGAAATTGAGGGTCTCACTGATTGCTGTTGGACCTTGGCTGGAAAGACATTTGACTGATGCACCAATTTAGAACTGCTGTAGACAATGGTTGGAATGATAGAGTTTCTGTAGATATTTTAGAATTCTACCTTGTAGTAAAGGAGAATGATATGTGATTATATTATATTATATTTTATTGCCTACAAGTGCATATACATACTGTCTTATATACAAGGGCCATTTGATATAATTTTTTAAAATGTTGATTAAAATCTGGTTTTCAGATGTTAATTGGAGCATAATTTTATGCAAGCTTTCTGTATCTAACTATATATATGCAAAATACTGAAAATAGTATTTTATATGTTAACGGTAAGAAAAAAAGCCATTTGTACTTTAGGGTAAAATCATTAGAAGAAAAGTCTCACTCTAAAAAGAATAATTGAATTTAAATGGACAGGTGATTATATAAAGAAGACTTGGGTGAGGATGTGTTTTGTGCTTTCATTCGTGCACAATGGTCCATTGGGAAGTTAATTAAATTGTATCCATTAAATTTTCAACTGTTGGCAGCCAAAGGTAACAAGTTGAAGGTTGGCAAGTTCTTGGTCTTCGAGGTAATAGAACATGTGTTGCTATATGGTGTAAAAGTACATTTACTGCTAAAAAAGGATATTAATCGGCCAAAGGCTATATACTATGTGGAATAATGACATGTAACTGCCTAACATATCTTAAGATGTATTGGTCTACCAGCTAGTCACTGCTTTCATATTTATGTGGTTTAATTACAAAAGATAGAATAGCAAGCTTTAGGAAATATAACATTTTCTTTCAGTGGTCTTCCAAGCTTTGGTTTCTTCTGTAATTGTGTCTGAAGTAGCCATCTAATTGAATTGTATAATGATCACTAGGAAGTGATAAAAAGTCAATGAGAGGATGTTAGTAATTTCTATTTAAAATAAGCATTTTAAGTATTTGCAATGACAATAACTTATCAATTAAATTTTTGACATTTGTTTGATGTATTCATTAGTGAAATCAATCTCCCTTATGCAAATAGAGTTTTGTGGAATTCACTAAAAAGAAATGAAACTTGAGCAAGAAGAGTCAATTTGTTACATTGTTTGAAATGCTTTCAAGGCATCACGTGGTACTATTTTTTCATAGCAGATGGCTTTTTTTACATTTGCATCTGTTCTGCTCTAGCATGCCTAGTGAAACATAACCACTGACATTACATATCAGGTACTGTATGATCTATTCTAAATAATTTTGAAACACTTTTCTCACAGAAAATTAAAAACTTTTGTAACAAAATTGAAAACGATCTTTTGGGGACCATTTTCATGTAGATTGTTTGGATGAAAAGTTCGATTTAGAGAAAAACTGTAGAGCTTCTATAGAAATTCTAGCACATTCTGTTTGTTTGAATTTATGTGACTCGTCTATAGAGATCTAACATCATCTGGGAACTGATTAACCAAGAACATTGCTCTTGGAAGATATATCAGTTCATGTGGCGCATAATGGATTACAAGGTGCCTGGACCTTTGTGCCGGAATCTGCACTTAGTTTGGCTAAGAATTGATTTACATGATTTTGATTAAGAGATTTCAATTAATCTGGCTGAGTTGTGATGGCTATAGATTCGGCTGATATCATGGTGATTAAAAAGCTTTGATGAAATGGTATTTTACCATTAGGTATCAGACTGGGTCTGAATGCTTTTCTTAGCTTGTCAGTAAAAGACAAAGGGTCTAGACTGATGAAAATAGATGTCTGATTTCCTTGAGTTTTGTGCCAATGTAATGAAAGTTACTCCACACATTAGTGTCTTACAGAGCATTTATTGAAAATTAAGATTTGAGTAAGGAAATTTTATACTGAAATGTGATCATGAATTTGTATATTTGAATTTGCACTGACTATGCCTTAATCTATTTGAACTTACTAGACAATTCATATACCATTGTTATTATTATAAAAATATCATATTGATTTTTAAGAGGTATCTTACAGCTTATGCACTGTAGCTCATATGAGTATATATTATAAATTATGATCCATGATAACCTGTATATTTAGGATTGTTATGCAATAAACATTTGCTTTGAAAGTACTTTTTTGTCACTGTTGGTGGGTTAACATGCATGTATATATAGGTGCTTGTACACACACAAACACACACATTTAAAAAAAAAAGGAGAGGGTAAAGATCTTCTGGTCCAAAGTTTTAATAAAGAGCACTTTGATAGTGTCAAATGCCTTGCTTATCCCTTTAAGTTCAAAATAGTTGTTCAAAAACGAACAAAAAACAATGTTTATCATGCCATAAATGCAACTTAAAGGCTTTGGATCTTAAAAACATGATGAACCAAACCTATTAGAAATTTTTTCTTTCCCTTTTTTTCTGAAGGTGGGGGAGTAGATTTAGTATTGTACAAACAACAAGATTAATGTACCTTACTGAACAGAAAATCAATTCCTTGACAGATTATTTCCTAGCTCAGGTACTGTTGTAAGAAATCCAAGACTAAAGGGAAAAAAGGTCTTCTCTGTAAGAGTTATTTTTACATCTGCATTAGACCCATTAATTGCTTGTTCAGTATGGCCAGTTTGGATTCTGCTATCAGATATACATGTTATCTACATCCCACGCCTAGCTTTACATGGGCTCTTCTAGCTCACTCCCCCTTTGAGAATATGCTGCATCACAAATCTTCTTTTATCCTGCTTTACAACAGTGTTTTGATGTGTACACCATTGAGGCATATTTGATCAAAGTGTTTTATGAGGAACAAAAAATATTCGAGCTCACGACACGCATTGTTTATGAAGTTTATCTAAAAACAGATTTAAGTTCCAGGAACATGAAAATATGCTTTCAAATGCTGTCACTGGTGTCATTTCTTACTTGAGATGCTTTTATTGTAAATCTTTGGTTTCCCCTGGTGCTTTGGATACAATTTAAAGCTGTCTAATGTAATTTATTTGAGTGAAAGAAATGAGAGTTCTTGAAGGATTTTTTTGGGGGAAAATTTATTCTTTGAAAATTTATTTCTCTGAAGAAGCTTTTGTGACATAAGTACAGTTTATATGGATTTAAAAACAGAACATGAGACAGTAAAAAATACCATGTTTAACAAATGTTTAACTGAATAAAAAGTACAAAATATGACATAATTAAGAAGCAAGTGAGCAGACAGCGCTCAAATGGAGAAAGGTGTGAAACGAATACTATGCCTCTGGGTTGGATACTCAAAGGAGACTACAGTGAGAGTTGAACTCCAAGTGACTTGGCCTGACCACCTGATCACATTGTTTAACTTAGCTTTGCAGGAAAACTGTGGCAGTATAGAGAATATGTTGATCTTCATTTGTGAACAGCATGCCCAATCTCACAGGTATTTGTCAGAAAGCAGCCACTGTGGCATATCATGGATTTTGCTAAGAAGGGGGGAGGGAGCACAAGGACAAAAACATTGTTAAAGGGAAACAATTCATTATGTGAGATCTATATTTCACAATAAATACATTGTTAACAACACGTAGAAATATAATATATTCTATTTTACCACAAAATCGACAGTAATAGCAATAAATCTGAAATATGTGCTTGCCAACCGACCACGTGACCTCCATAGATGGCTATACTCTGTAATAATCTTTTAAGAGATTATTACAAAAGAACAAACTTTTTAGAAAAAAACCAGGGACTAACTTTGAATGTATAAATGGATTCATTCACCATTGGTAAGTATGGGAAAATTGCTGTTTACCCCAGGAAAATTCATTTTTTGGCCAAAATGAACAGTTGTTATCCCTTTAAGTGAAGTGAACCGAATATAAAGCAATAGCATTAAAATGTGTGGGACAGAGTGATTTTTTTTTTTTTTTGGGGGGTGGAATTGAAAAGAAGGGGGTTGCTCCTGAAGCCTCTTGGTTAGGAATTTGGGGGGTGACTTGCCTGCAGTGTGCTCTGGATCTGACGCTGGTACATGTAATCAAAAAATAATCTAAGATGATTGCTTTATGACAAGATAAAATCTTTCAATTTTTCTTTTGAGAATAATTTTTCTAAGTGTATAAAATTATTAGTTTATCAATATATGAATCAGTTAATTTGGCACTATGAATCTTTGCCTTTAAATTATTTTGAAAGAAAAATATGTTCAAAGAAAAGTCAAAGAAACATATGCAATTTGAATAGGAGTAAGTTAATATCTTGAATTGTATTAAATAAAAAGTCTGCATGAGTTTTCATAATCACTTTTTACATAATCACTTTTTTTGTTAAGCTATAATTCTTTTTTCCCCAAAGAATTTACTATATTTTCATCCAACTACCTATAGTTGAGAGATATAAAAAGCCTCATTTGCATTCAGAGGATCTTGGTGATGAGGGCACACTGATTACCTTGGTGGCTGTAACTAATAGTCTGACCACAGAATGCATGAATACCATTACAAAGACTTAATCAAAGCCAGATCAGGATACCTTTGTTATATTATGTTACATTATGTTATATTATTTTTCTGTAAGTTTCAGTATTTCTGCTGTTAAGTGGCAAATTTTCATGTAAGTCTTATTGAGCTTGTTAGGTCCACTGAGATTACTATGGTTTAGTTACCAGCAATTTTGTGTAAAAACTATGCAAGGACTAAATAGAAAGATAAAGTATTGTGTAATCCATCTGGAGGCTGGGAAAACAGAATGGTTTTTACAACACACATTTGATAAAATAATTTCAATCAGTTTGGTAATGATTAAAGGCTTGAAATTTTCTTTTTCTTTTTTGCCATGAGTTTACAAGAAATGAGAAAATATGTATGAAGTAAACATAACATTTTTATGTCACGGCTAAATTGTTAAAATATGGAGCTATGGTAACAATAGACTTTGCAGTTATTCATTAACCAGTGATTAACTGGTGTAGCCTGGGAAAGAGTTCCAGAGCAGCCGATAATTGGATCTAATAGAAAATGGCTTGTTTCATGTAAATCTAATCATGGCTGACTTACACTGGAAAAGATCAAGGTTGCATGAGTAATGATACTGTTATGGCCTGTTAAAAGCATAGCGTCATTCGTTAAGGAGAACATGTCATTGGAAAATATCTTCTGGTCACTTGGTAGGCAGTGAGTTATGAAATGTTTCTTAATCTTTGGGATAAACTATATGTATATCAGATAATCTAAAATCAGAAATGGTGATTTCATGGGTGCGGGGGTGGGGGGGGGTGGGGGGGGTGGAAAGAAGACTGATTTGTACTTTTTTTAAGCTTACTCCAAAAATTAGCTATAACTAGATAACCCCCCTCAATACTGTAATGTCTTCCTTATATAAAACATTCCAACCTGTCCCTTACAGTGTAAAACTCCTTCTTGCATATATTCATAATTTGCTGCTTGACAACGAGTTGTGAATATATGACATGCAGGCTAAAAATATTTGGTACAAGCAGTAATTAGGCTGCTCTTCTAAATATTCATTTCAGATATCATAAAAGCCAAATAAGGAATGTCACTTTTAGATAAATTGCCAGATTACTATTACCTTGAAGCCTTAATTATTAATAAATTTCGGGGTATTGCTGACTAGGATGTGAAAGTGATCAAAACAGGAATGAAGTAATGAGAAAAATACCACTGGGACATGAATTTGGAGAGATAACTTGGTGACAACTGTAGTATTTCAAGTTGCATTTTTTTCAGTTAATTCGAGATCAATAATCCCACTAAGCACATTTCATCCAACAGAGAGCAGGAGAGTATCAAGAGATTGAAAGTCTGTTGTAAAGCTTGCATCCCAACCTCTATGTTTTTTCATCAAACGTGTCTAGTTCCCAAATAATATATTCTGAAATAACTGAACACATACATTTGTACTGCTCTTAGAATACAAACTGTAACAGGTTAGGCGTGCCCTCAGCTCATAAACTCCTGGCGCTTTCCTCCCTGGAGACAGGTTTTCCATGAAATCTAAACACGATCAGGTCACCTGCCTATGGTGCAAATTACAAAGCATTTACATTATGTCTATGTTGGCGTGGCCCTGTCTTCTGTACAGATTCACCTGTGGGAATTTGAGCTATTCAGAAAGTGCATCTGCAATATTAATGCAGATCACATAAACAGACATCATGGCCCAAAGTATATCATGCTTTGACCCAGAGATCAAATATATGTGGATATAGTTGGCTAGATAAGAATGTTCACTAGTATAACTTTTTTTGTCAGTTAGGGTATTCTTTTATTGATTAGTCTTAAAGCCATAAAATAATAATAAAGCCTACACTTATTTATGAAAGCCTATACACATCTATAAACAATTACTTTACTTATTGTCATTTCATCATGTTTGACATGATATTTTTTCATTTTGATATTTTTAATCTAAAGGCTATTGGAATAGTTTCCTATATCATTCATTGGATATTCAAGTTAATTGGTTTCTATGATTGAAAAAAATTACTACTTAAACCATAAATTTATTGAATAAAAATATAAGAAATAATGACAGGATGACAATTACATAGCAAAAGTTTTAATTCTTTCTTGTCAAAACTAAAAGGATTGAACCACCCTTTTGTTTTCAATTATAAATGAACAATTCCACATAAGAAACGACAGAATAAGTTACAGAAGTGAGATTTGAATTCTATGAGATTTTGTCACTTCTGGGGACCTATAAGATGTTGCACAACATGACCATAGCTGTCAACATGGTTTTCTGCTTGGTTTCTGTACACCAAAGTAGCAGAGAAAAGTGTTTCTTTTTTGGGTTTTTTTCATTCCCTGTAGATAAGCTCAAACAGCTGGTAGGCAAAACAAGATTATGATGTCGTCATATCTTGTTATACAGCGAGAAGCAAGTAAACAGACCTTGATTCTGTAGCTTCCATCTTTCATATAAGCCTGAACGATGTACCCTCAAGCTGTACGTTTTACCCCTCTGTCGTAGCTAAATTTAAGTGACTACTCTGCAGCATCTTCACTTTATCTCTGCAGTTTGACTCAGTTTTTTCTTGTGTAGTTTATCCAGAACTGTAGAGATAGTGCCATCCTGTCCGAATGAACTTGTAAACAAGAGGTGGTCCCTGGAATTGGGTAAGATGTGCAATAATGTCACAATATTGGCAGTATATTTAATTATTTATTTATTTATTTATTTTATTTTTTTTTTTTTTGTGGACAGCATATTGTTTTTATTTTATGCTTCTGTCTTTTGAATCTGATTTATTGCAGAAAAAGACTTCATAATCTGTAAAATTGTTAAAATTGTAAATTCTTACCGGATGTAAAATTGTGCAACACGAGTTAGATGAATTCTCAAATAGAACTATATGTACAGATAACAATTAAGTCTGATTGCTTCTAACATTATTGTTGATCAATTTTTGAATCATAAGTACCACAAATATCCATGCAACTGTTTTTAATGTTTTGTCCTCCCAAACTGCCTGAACTGTTACTAATGCAATGTAATATACCTTGCTAATGTAATATATAATGTACTTTGCTAACGTACAGCACATGCTTATAATACTAACAATGTAAAGCTTCTGTCGCAATATATTTACAAATTACTCAGAATGATGTTCACCAGGTACTGAAATAGTTTTTATCAATTAATGTTATTGGTGACAAATACCTGGAATTTGAGCACCTACTCATTAGTAGATGTTCTGATAACAAGCAAATTCAGACCATTAGTCTTTTTAAATGATAAAATCCTTAGAAAACCTCTGTTATTAGATTTATTTAAGTAGAAGACTACAATTGATTTTTGTGTGCTCTTTTGTAGCACGGACAGATGATCGGCATGTTTTAGAATCAAATGTCACTGGTGGCAGTCCGCGTTCGAGGGTTCGAGGAGTGATCTGTTTACAGGGTTCCTGTCCAGGTGTGTCGTCTTTATTGGTAATGCAAGGCGTGCCAGGTGTTTGCGTGACTGCTGCAGTCAGAGTGCAGGCAGCGGAGGCAGTACGGGCTGATAGTATTTTCACTGTCTCTGAATTATTGATTGCTGTGCTGTGTGGGTTGGCTGGAATTGCAGGGACCATTTGAAGTAATTAAGACAATCCACAGCAAACTGAAGCATGAGATAGACTGCTGAATTTGCACCTTTCTGGGATTGGTATCAGTTTGATTCAGAGAGAAAGTAGATTGATTTATATATTTTTTTTGTTGTTGGTGTTGTTGTTGTTTAAAGGCTTGGAATGAAGGGGACAAGGAAATAGTGAAAGCAAAAACTTGAAGGACAAAGTTAATGTCTAGAAACAAATAGTCCCAGAATGGAAATGCAGCATAGATGTTACTGTGTAATGCAAACAAGGTAAATATAGATTTTTTAAATATTTACATTTTTGTTTACATGAAGAAAGAAGCTTTCACAACTTGAATGAAGTTTTAAGTGAAAAAAAACTGTATTTACTTAACTTCTTTCATCTCATTTCATGTAATTTTTTTAAATTCTGGCACTTTATTAAGTTTAGGTGTATTCAGTGTTTGTGTACAATGTAAAAATTATACCTTTTAGCAAATTACTGTTGGTATTTCATAATTTTTAACATTACTCAGTCAACCAATCTGGCCCTTGGCATGTTTATACACATAATTTAAAAATTGATTTGTTGCTTCTGTTTTGCTAACCAATCATTGGAAAAGTAGGGGTAATTGCAATTGGCGCCAGTTTTAACAAGTACATAAGATAAGTCATTGCGAATGTGACACTTTTCCATAGTTGCTGGATACATGGACAAATGTTTCACAGACAACCTAGTACATGGTTAAAATATGAATATACTTGTATGCCGTAGTACTTAAATTCTATTGTGGTAGCATTATACAGAGCTAGGTTAGTTGGCACTCAAAAATTCATTGTGTTATGCGCATTGAAATTTGAGTACATTCATAGGACGGCTTTAGATTATAATGATATAATCTACATTAGAGATGACATCTTTCGCATAAGGGACCTATCTTGGATTAACTCGTATCAAATTGCTATACACTCTATGTAAATGCATGGGGAAGGCAATTGGATAGATAGAAGATACATTGATGCATTTAGTTGTTTTGTTTTACTATGATCAATATTATGATACAACTAATAGAATAACCTGGACAAAAGAACATTTTCTCACACTTGCAGCAGGTACAGGGTACTTGAAACCAATTGCTGGTTGCTCATCTAACATGCAACGATTGTGACAATTTTGTTGGAAGCAGTGCTTTTTTGTCAAACACACGTGCTCACATGCACACACATACACACACAAACACACACATACACACACAAACACACACATACATACACACAGACTGATATCAAAAACTGAAGAATGCTGTCTAAATTAGCAACTTATTCTCAAATTCAATATGATTTTAGTCAGTTATTCCTTAGTGACTTTTTGGTTTGGTATCTTATTTTTTACATAGTAATACATTCCATATAATAGCATCATTTTTTTAATTGATCATTAATATGCTGTGAAATGGTTCCAAATTCTTTCAACATGAGTTTCAGATTAATTGGAAGACACCCCATGTATGTAACCTCATTAAACTTAGGAAATCAGTTTGCCAGAAAAAAACTTGCATTGACCCACAGTAAATTAGTAACTAAAGCACAGTATGTTTTGTTTAATCAGATGAGCATTTTATATGAATTTTTTTTTTTTGATGAGATGACCCCCACAAAGAATAGAGAACAAGAAAAAAAGGGTCCAGAAGGCAGCTGCAGGTGTCCTTGTGCATGTTATATGATATACATTTTACTAGGAAAATGGCCATTTGATAATTTATTATTAATTAAACCAATCAATACCTCTGCAGGAATGCCTGGATATACCAGAGATTTCTTATCAAAATGAAAAATACAAAAATCATTGATTTACGCCTGACGGAAGTTGTACAAAAAATAATAAAATGCATTTGAAAACAAACAAAAACATAGCCTGCCCCTTCACCCCCTGAAAGAGACTCTGATGTACAGAACCGAAGAGATAATAATTACTTTTTGATTACTATCAAATATGTATGAAATTGTTATCTAATCTGACATCTTGAGGTGTTTCATGTGTAACGTCGCATGCAAAGAAGTAGCCAACACATAAGGTTCCTGGAATTATTGATGTTATTGCCCCTTTGGGGGTCAGAGCATATTATTTTAAATAAAACAGAACCCTGTGTGCCTGATTGCATTTTAGGTCTATTCTCTCATTATTTGGTGGCAAGCCCACAACCTTTTCAATGTCATCATATAGTAATGATACAGATCCAGCAAATAAATATTTGATTTGTGGCTTGATTCAGTCTGCGCGCAAACAAGAAGTGAAGACAAATGGCTTTATTATTTTCCCAACCAAAGCCTTCAAAATACAATTTGTCATTCACTTTGCTTGAAATGGTTTTTTGGTCGTGCTACATTATGCAGTTACATACACTTGTCTCTCTTGTGCATATATATGCATGTCTTCCATGGAATTTATTTTTGTGTGGGATTTCTTATTAGTTAAGTTGATCACGTGGGGCCTTGCCCCATAGGAACACATATTTAATTTTTTTGACAGTGCTTGAGCTTAAGCAAATTTAAACCCACCTATTATTCAATTAGCACTGTCCACGTGATAAAAGATATGTTATCTCCTACAATTATTTGTAATTTATGTTTATCACACAGTGACAAGATATATTTTATCCTCATAATATACATGTAGATATTCTATTACTGACCTCAGTAATAGGTTAAATTGTAAAACCTGATATGTACATTTTTGTACATATAACATTCACTTTCAACTTACTCAGAGAAGTATTGCGTAAATTTTATATAATTTACAAATGGAGATTTATGGGCATATTATTACTTATTTACTGGCTGCTGACATTTGTCATTTTATCTGGATGAATTTCATCAATGCATAAAATACTGTACCTAGACATTTAGAACTCGGTATCACTTCTTTACCATAGATATTGCTATGGGGATGTTAAATAGATCCAATAGGTTTTGGATGCTTGCAGTGCTCAATGAGACTGCAGCTGCTAAAAGGCCTTTGACAGTGACTTAAACTAAAATAATCAATTTCAATCACAGCTAGCATGTAATATAGTATATATTTATTTATAATTACATTCCTGTTGTACATTTTCATCTACCCATGTAGATGCATATGATACAATGAATAAAGTGTAAGTCATGTAACATGATTTATTTACAGTAAATGTTTTAAAAGCGAGATGCACATATTCTCCATCTTTTCGATAGAATTCTATCGCTTCGTTTACAAAATGCATGCATTATTGAAATATCACATTGTGTATCATATCTGAATTTTAAAGAACAAGTGAAAAAGAAGGCTGACAAGCATGTATTGGGGAAGTTCCTGTTTTATTGTATAGTGGATATATGCATGAAGTCCTAGTTGGAGCAGCATTGCAGCTGTATTATCCAGAGACAACTGTACATGACACCATTAGGTAAAACAACAGTAAACTGTATTGAATTACCATTAACCTTTAACAATGAAAAGATGTTGCACTTCAGTAGTTTAAAAATGTGTATCTGCTAGCTGTGATTCAAACTGGATCCCCAGATGGCAGCATAGTAGGCCAGTGTTTTACCATATTGCCACCATGTACTGCTTACAATGATAAATGGTGAAGGGTGGATTTAGTCAAAATTCCACGTATGGATATACTATGAGGATTTGGACACAGTAATAGAGAGCAAAAATTATTAATGTCAAAGAATACAAGTTTCATTGTTTTATAGCAGAGTGATGTTATAAAGGTAGTTGACAGAACAATTTTGACGGGTTTTTTATGTCACAGTGATAAAAAAAGGACAGATATAATCACTTTATTAATATCAATTTCCGACTTATTTTTAAAGTTGAAACAAAAACATTTTTCAATAATGTTTCATAATTGTTCAAACATTACAAATGGCACATTTCTAACAGCAAATATAGCCAAAGGAACTACTTGGAGAGCTGGTGTGTGGTAAACCAATTAGAAACATTATTTTCCAAAGGGATTTATGCTTTATCAGAGATGTGTGCTTTTAACTGTTCAGTCTGTATGCATGCATGCATGCATTAGACAGGCAAATAACAGGTATTGAAATGTAATGGAACAACCAACACATTTTTTTAGTCACAGGCAATTTAATGAGCTAGGGTTTGTGTCAAAGTAGAGAAAAATCCCCTATTATTTGAAGATTTGGTTTAAGGAAGTAGAAGAAGCCAAATTGAGGTAATTGATCTGTGAATTGGTATTGGCAGTCTAATGATCTTTTTTCTTGTGGAATCAAATTTGCTGTTATCTGTTCTGAAAGGCTGCAGATGCAAACTGGAGAAAAGATATTACTAAGCACCTACAAGGTTGATTAAACATGAATATTTGTACATGTAAGACACATATCCAATTTTGTTTGAGATTGGTAACAACCCAACTCGGATTGTCTGAAATCCCCATGTTGCTGCAAGAAAGATCTTACCCTGGCTGGTAATGCTGTTCCTCTATGGTACAATCCATTTCAGTGAAAATATAGCAGAAAAAGATAATGACTATTGTATAAAAAGAAGATGAAAAACCTATGTATTATACTGATTGTTGGATGTAGAACAACCTGTTGGGATATGTTAGCGGTATATGTGAGGTGTTTTCCTCTCTACAGGTGAATGTGTTAAGTTTTTCATATTTCCCAGCCATGAAGATCTTGTTTTAAGTATGGTGATCCACTGTAGACAAAAAGGATATAAGTAAGAAAACAAAAAATAATCATTTTTTCCAAAGAAATATAAGTGCCTCAAAAGTGATGGAAATAAAATACTTCTTTTGATTGAATAATGTCTTTTTCATAATTGATAAGGCTTTGTCCTTTGAACTATAGCCTCATTTTTTGAAAGAAAGGGCAAGTGGTAAATATGGGCCACCGTAATGGAGCAGTTACCTGGTGGGGTCGGCAGATAAACATTGCATACATGTTCCAGTAAATCACTGTCATTCACACATGCTCAGAGCATTCATAGCCTGTTGTTTATTATAGAGATATAACACAGGATAAGATAGGAAGGTGCAGCTAGCTGTTAACACATTTGAACACCATGCACATAGTCATAACCAGGCATTATTCTTGGAAAAAATACATGGTCTGCTGCATTTAGAACCAGATTTGCCGCATGTGCAGATGTGCTGCAGGTATCTGTAGGGTTCATTGTGGTTGGAGTCAACCTTGGGGGGTGCATTGATCACTGCTGCATGCTTTCTTAAACGTGTGTTTGTAATTGTCTTCTGGCAACCTCTCCTTTTTATTTGCAGCATGTCTGCATGAAGCAGAAAGTAGAAGCAGGACCTCAGAGAGCTGTCATATCTGTCTGAAGATCTAGAGCAGGGGGTGAGGGTTGTGGACCACTTTCAGCTACAAAACCTTGGGGGAAAAGTTCAGTTTGTCAGCCTCATAGCACCAGACAACATCATGTCTGAAGATCAGAAGCAAGCAAGTTTTCAGGATTTACGTCAGCCAGGCATGCAGGACACCATCCGCCAGCATATGGGTGCTACCCTAAAACTGGCAAAAACAAGTAAGTACATGAGACTATATGAATGTTATTGTGCACCATTGGAAAACACAAGCAAAAGACAATCTGATACCTGTTGGTGCAAGTAAGTTATTTTATAAATTTTGGCACTAAAAAGTGGAGGTGCATCTTTCTCTCAAGGAATGCTTATGTTTTATGTTGAAAGAATTGGATTTATTTCTTTCACGTTTCAATTCTGATATTGGTATCTATGTATTATTATGATTGATATTAAAGCTTTTAGTCTTAAACTGCTTTTTTTTTCATTGCTTCTGGTAATGCAAATGGTATTCTTTAAGGCAATTTTTTTAATTTGCTTGAAGGCAATTCAAGGGAGTCTCTTATTCTTTTGCAAAATTCACTTATCTTCAAGTTATTAGACAAACAGTGCACATGTACATGAATTGCATAATCACGAACCCTGAGCATTACCATTTTTTGCCCATGGCTATGATTAGTCAGACTTTTTAACCACTAGAATTGCGCAACCCATCAGATAGCAAGGCAGAGCTAGACATGACTCTTGCAAGTGCCTCTTTTTATTGACTTTGATGAAGATGATGCAAGTGCTCATTAAGAAGAGTACTTGCTACACTGCAAATTTTCCACGCTACTTCTTCATCAAAATTTATTGGCAACCAAATATAATCAATTGCTTTCAGTCCCAAGAGTTATTGATCTGTCAGACATTTGAAGTTTTAATATGGCACCTTTTTTCCCAATTACCAATGTTATTTTTATAAAGAGGCAGACAATGGTAAAATAACATATAAGAATGAAAATTAAAAAAGTGGTGTTTATTGTTTTCAGTGCATATTTCACATTGCACTTCAGCACAAATCTATGCATCAGTCCATTCTAATTATATTTGGAATTATTTGAAGTGTACTGGTATATTCATTTTTCGACAGTTTGAAATGTGCGTGCCCCACAAGTAAAGATTGCTTGTCATTCAGACCATCATAAAAACTACAAAAAACTATTTTCTCAGAAAAATGCTGGCACATTTTACTGTGGGGAAAACATCCATGAAAAATGCAGGTAAAACCCAGGTGAAAATAACAGAAAAACACCAGTGTATGCATAGGCTGAGTGCCATTCATTTCAGAGTTAGTGTATGCCACAGGTTCTGTTATATAATGAAAGAAGTGAGTGATCTTAAAGAGTTGGGGCACCTTGCTGCTTCAGGTTATGAACTTTCTACAGGTGCTTGGGTTAAGCAAATAGTGCCTGATGGTCAGCCATTAACTGTCAACTGGTCAAACATTGGGTTCCTACTGGGGGGTGATTGCGTCTTCCTTTTACCTTGTATATCATATTTCTAGTCATATGCCAAATGAAGACAATGTCACTGCTACATGTGCAACTTACGCTGCTGTAAACTATAGAGATATAACTAAATTTGGCAATCCTGGACCATTAAGTTGAATGTTTTCTCTAGCTGTTGGCCACCAAAGCCTCATTGGAAACATTCATCATATCGGTACAGTTCAGAAAATTGATACGTAAGCTGTTTGAACAATGGCAAAACCTTTTCTGCTGGTTGTAAAAGTTGTAGGTATGTTTCCAGTTAACCATTTAAAACTTAACATCCACCCATAAAGTTTATTTCTTGAAAAATGTTGTCTTAACTTCAGTGTCCCTTTTTCTGTTCCAGGCTGTTTGCTATCTTAACCAATTAGAATAATGCCTCGGGTCACAAGGCAAACATTTTCCAGCCAACCCCAGTTTGAATAGCTAAAAACATATAAGACATATTCCCCATTTTCTTTAACCAAAATGATTTTTGCTATTGGCAAATAACATTTTGTCAGTCAAAACAGAGAAAAAAAACACAAATCCTTGGTGTGTACCCAGATTGCAGCATCACCTGCAGACTTATTAATTAAAGACAGAAGCAGACTTGTCTGAGATAACAGAACACAGTATGCTCTCTTTCTGCCAGCTACATTTGTACTAAATATCACAAAAGGATGGAATAAATTTCTCCACTCATTTCACAGATGTGTTGAAGGTTTTTGCTTTGATGTGCATGCCCCTTTCTGAGAGCAGCTTTTGCTACTGTTTTGAAATAAATTTGTTTCTCTTCTCTGGATTATTTAGATTAAGACACTGAATGTGTCTTTATAGAATATATTTTGTTTTCTGTGTCAGTCCATGATGTCACCAATGCTGTCCGAAACATTACAGCTAAACTGCATATTTGATAGACTTTAACACTGAGATTATTTTAGCAGAGTATATTTTCTATAACATTATATGTAAATTTTTGGAGCTAAAAAAACAGTAGAATAATTTCTTGTTGCTCTCATTGCATACCTGCAGTCATTAATATTTTTAGTTTTATTTTAGTTATTTAACCTCAGGAAAAAAATTAACAGTAATATATAGAGACCCTGAGTGAACTGATACCACCAGTGCTGTATTTGAAAGTTGGGAGGTGACAGTATTCAGAATTGATATACATTCTTTCACAGTTTATTTGTCATTTTAAAACAGTACTTTTATTAACTTTTTGTGAATTCTTTCCAGTGGCTGAGTTTAGTCAAAAGATTGCTGCCGTCCATACCCAATTTGCCAGCCAAATGCAGGCTTCAGTGGAAATGTTCAAAAAAAGGTCACATGAGTTAAGAGAAAGGTAAGAAAAACTGAAAGCTTGTCACATTGCTTAAGTTTTTGTTTTCAAAATGTATCAAAGTTATTGAGGAGTGTGCTATGACATAATTGTTCTGTAAGAGTTTTAATTAATTTTAATAGGTTGCATAAGATAGAGAAACAAAATTGAGAAGGAACTGAGAATGACAAGAGAAACAGCAATGAATTATGTCTGCATTGTACAGAATTAATAAAAATGATCTCAGAAAAGTGCTTTGATGCATTTTGCACATTTTTTAGAGAAAGGAATATAAAAGGTGAATCTGGCATTAAGTATCAAGGGAACAGTATAATATATAAAAAGGGTGATAAAAACCTTTTTTCATGGAGTATTATGTGCCAAAAAAATCTCCTGGTGTCTCTTAAGACATTGCAAAGTCTAAATATATTGGATTCCAGTCTGCTTGGTAAAACTGGGCAGTAATTCTGGGAAATGCAGATCTAAAGTCTGTATGGACTGCCTTTGAGCAGAAACAATTTGCTCAATCCTAATTTAGATGCACCATCTTCAAAGACCCAGGTTCATCAAGGGTTGTCTAATTTTTGTCAGTAAAAGAGTTTTCCTTTTGCAATTAATATTATTGTTGTATAATTGATGTTTTGCAATTATCACTTGATCAACAATGACCATTTGCATGCTCTAGCTTGCATTTAATTTTTGAAATTGCCGTACACCTTTAGGAAAACATATAAATAGGTATACAAAGTGTATGATGTATATCTTCTTTATGTACCTCTTACAAATTTTCCCAGGTAATATGGTTTATAGCTAGGTTTGAAAGACATAAAATCAAGAAGTAGGTACAGGTGTCCTTAACTTGTTGCAGTTTGAGGATTGTAAATACACATTACTGTCTAGGCACCAGCGTTAATAATTGAAAAAACGATAGGTAAACTTGCTCCCTTCAGTACGAATGGGTACAAAAAATAAATAAAACACTTAGAAGTTCTTGATGTCCTGACCCCAGAAAGAGTGTGTTAAGGATACATATATAACCACTTAATAGTCCTTTTTGATGCTACGCATTCTGAGTCAAACTACACCAGTTAAACACACCAGCAATCATCCAGGCTTCAGTGACCTGGAAAAAAAATGGTCTAATTTTGTTGAGAACTCTGCAGATATATCTATTTAAACATATCATTGTACAGAGTGTTTGCCTTGGAAATAGCATTCAGCACTTGTATGTGAAATAGTCCCTATGGAAAATTCAATAATTGTTATCAATAACTTCATGACAAAGCGTAGTTAGTGTTTGTGAATTGTTCCCTGAGGTCTGCTTTTGTAGTATCATTTACTTAACAAAAAAATTGTATTCTCATTTCATGGAAATTGTTTGATGTACATTTCCAGAGATATTTAGTTCATTGCAGTGCAGTTGTAGTGTACTATGGGTAAAAAAAACAAAACAAATCCCTTTAGATTGGCAGGTAGCATAATTTGGAGAGAAATATGTGGTTGGCTATATTTTACTAAAAAATATTTTTGTGGGAAATATATCAGGATACATATAAGATCGTATTTTGAATAATACAATGAGTCCAAATAGATTTTGGTGAATCACATTCTCTATATAAAATACCAATAATATTATGATCCAACTGCAAAAGATGCTCTCCTATGTTTTTATAAATACCTGACCTATGTGAGTACTATTGAACACATTCTTGATAACATGGACATACTTGAGTCCTCTCCAAAGTTTATCTCAATGCCCTCAATACTCTTGGCATTTTGTCTATAATAGCATACCCATCTACACACAGTGGAAACTCTAATCTTTACAGATTGCTCCTGGGTTCCAATAATCTCTCTGGTGACCTCAAGGTGGCTTGCAGTCTTCCTGTGTACTGGATAGCATTTTGGAAGAAATTGTTGGATTGCTTGGTTTTTTGGTCATTATATAGCTGATTGAATGATATCATATCATTAAAATACTTTTTTTCCTTTTACTGCAAAATTATCTCATTTGACCAATTTTGTGTTCTAAGGAATAAGGGTGTCTTTTATCCCTGAAAACAAATGATATACAGTTAGTAGCAATTAAGGAATCAAGGATGCCTCCTTTTTAATCACTGAAAGCTTAAGAAGTTTGCTTGGCATCAGGCATTGGTAGGTAGGCAATGAAAACAGACTAAACAGGCATTTTAGCCCATTTACAGGAGGAGATCAGATAACAATCTGGTCTTACTGTTAAATTGGCAAACTACTCTCAACAATTAGTGGCATCATTGTAAGCAATTCAAGAATGTTTTGAGGAAACTCTCTAGGAATCGTGGAGTTTCTAGGAATCCTGGAGTTTGTGTGTGTGTGTGTGTGTGTGTGTGTGACTGGTGGCATGCCAGCTGAAGTGACACTGGGGTATATATTATGTAGGTGAATCAGTAAGTATTGCTTAACAGATTCTAGCCAAAAAAAAAGAAAAAAAAGAAAAAAGAAAAAAAGAAAAAGGAGGAATAAAAAATATAATTAACCTGTAGAGGTCTTTCAGTTCTGCTTGTAGACTGAAAGTCTCAGATGATATCTTGATTATTTTCACTAACAAGACTCAGCCCATGCAGTGCATGAAAAGCCGCTTTAATAGAGATGATAGATTTGCTAGCTTGCCAAGAAAAATGTCATTCTCAGTCCCATATGAATGATAGTAATTTTGTGAAAAAGAAAGAGCACTGATATGCAGAGATAACGATATCTCATAGGCATATCCCTTTCTGTATGCATTGATTTCATTGCTGTAAACCAGTTGTGGAGAAAAATGTGTATCAGGTTTTATGTCATCATTTTGAATGCAAAAAAGGTAGAGTGCATTACATACTGCAGATATTTTCATGGAAATACTTTTGTGATATTTGTTATCAGATCATGCCAAAGAATGTTAGAAATTATAAAACCACTGCATCCCCTTTTACTTAAATTTGCTTATATTTGTATTTGCATCATGGTGGTGTAGATGCAATTATTGATCAAAGTCTAGATAAGTTAAGAAAATAAAAACAGAAGTTTAGCCTTACTATCACTACATCTACATGTGTCTCAATAGAAAAGAAGATATTTTGCCTTTCCTGTAGAAGATGTTGAGAAAAAGATCAGACACACTTCTAGTGTTCCTCCCTTAGCAAAATATCAGGCCTGCCGCAAACTCTCTCACAAATTCACTGCAAATTTGCAAGAAATTCCTGCAAATTCACTGCCAGGATGCTGCTAATTTGCTGCGAATTTACAGCAAATTTGTAGCAAATTTGCAAGAACATGAATACTTTCTTGCAAACTTACTGCAAACTTAATATGTCCTTGCAAATTTGCTGCTAATTTGTTGCTAATTTGCCAGAACATAAAGACTTTCCTTGCAAACCTGCTGCAAACTTAAGTTGTTATTGCGAATTTGTTGCAAATAAGCTGTAATACAATTTTTTCTTGCAAACTGAAAAGTAGTTGTTGCTATTTTGCTGCAGTATTGCTGCAAACTTTTCATTTTGCTAAGGGAACTTGTATTGAAAGGAAACCTATTAATATATGGGCAATATAGATAAATATCCATTTGATATATATCAGGCATGACTTTCTTATCCACCTGCCTATTTGTTATGTTTATTGTATATAAGCATCCAGTAGATTGAAAACAAATAGAAGTGATATTTTGTGCCTAGCATGAAGTTAACAGGTGTTGAAGGCAGTAACAAAAGTGAGTGAGGAGATATTATTTTGGGGTAGAAGAAGCATTTGAGCAGGAGTTAGGTGCTCAAACCAGAGTTTGCAACCTCATTTCAAGACTTAAGTTCTCAAGACAATTTGATTTATTTTATTTTCATACTGTAGTTTCTAAACAAACTGAATGTTATCTTTTCGGTGTTATCCCTTTTGCTTCAGTAACATTCATTAGTTGTACCTAAAACATAAAAATTGAAATAAAAAGGCAGGTTTATTGCTTATATATACACACTATTCTTATTATACAGACGCCTGTAAGCATACTTGAACTATATTTACTGATGCCAAAATAGTTATTAGACATAATATAACAGGACAGGCAGCCCACAAAAGGTAAATGTCTTCTTAGACAGAAATAGTTCACCAGGACTCGCGACTATTATGATTAAAAAGGGTTCAAGTGCAGAACGGAAACTTTCTGAGTAATACTCCTGTTAGATGCCATCACAACAGATATTGGAGATCAGTATGATAACCCACACACTGAGAACTCAGAGTGGCTCCTAATTTATTTCCAATGAGCAGTTGGCTAATATCTATACTGGAATATAATTTGATTACCTGCGGGTGGTTATTCAAGAACTCTTTGGTGAATGGAACAAAATGTTTGAAGTTGAGCGAGTATACATGTACCATCTCTAGTTTCTGTTTCAGCATACTTGAGGTGCACTTCAGTCAATTAATCCTGCAAAACCTTGCATGTGCACCAAGAGTTGCAACATCTAACCCAAAAGGAATAAAAGGTTAATAATTTGACCTTGTCTAGATGTTAAAGCCCTCTTGATGCTTTTGATGCTTTGGTCTTGTCTCGAACAGTTGCCAAATGGTTTGATAAACAAATTGGTGCTCTGTTTCTGTAGAACCTATTAGCTGCTTTTGAGGTTTATTGTATCTGTTTATTGCTCCTAACCTGTACATCAACACGTTTTGTGGCAGTGCAAGTTTTTCTTTCACTCACAAAGATTTATTATTTAGGAGTAGATTATTACACTCCTCTTTTAATTGTCTTATATCTACCACCTTCATATCTGAATTTGATTTCTGCCTATTTATTGACATCTTTTCAGAAATCCAAGAGTAGGCGGTTTAAGGAAGCCCTGTCCCTATGAAACTTATTTGATTCATCTCTATGGCTCATTATATTCTTTTCCCCCAATATCATCATCATTATTTTCATAACCATCCAAACTAGAAAGGGCGGGCATTTTTTTTTTTTTTTTTTTTTTTTTTTTTTTTTTTTTTTTTTTTTTTTTTTTTTTTGTTTTTTTTTGGGGGGGAACAAATGGTGTTTTTAAAAAA